GCATTGTTTTATTTGAATTTGATCATTTGACAATTTTGGTTTGTTTAAGTCTAATTTCCTGTATTATATTCTCATTGTACAGGAACTAAATATGTGACTACCCATCTTTTCTTCAAGAAACTTGTTCCAGTTTATGACATCATTGAGGAATTGAAGAATGATCTGCATGAAGAGCTCCAAAAGATGGCAGAAAAGGTTGAAGAAAAGGTACAAAAGTATTGGTTTGAGACACCTGTCATGAATGAGGAGAATACGAAGGTGAATCACTTAATTTATATAGCATGTGTGCTTGATCCTAGAAGTAAACTTGATCTGGTGTCTGAAGTGTTGGAAATGATTTATGGACGTATCAAAGGAGGAGAAATTCAGAGTTCTATTGAAAGGGAGATGCGCCAGATGTTTGAGGTTTATAAGAGGAAGTATGGATTAGAGTCTTCATCTCAGCCTACTACATGATAACATTGCTGATGATGGTTCTAGTGAAGGTGTTGGTGATCGGATTAAGTAGTTGGAGGAGAGGCGAGGAAAGAGAAAAAAGAAACCACTTCTGCTGGAAACAGGAGGTAGCTCTGCTGAGCTTGACATCTATTTGAAATGTCAAACTGATGGCATCAATGAAGAGAGTGATGATGCAAAGTTTGACATATTGGATTGGTGGTCTCGAAACTCTGGAATATATCCGATAACTGAGATTTCGGTTTTTGGTTAAACCAAAATGGACCGACTGCCAGCCCTACTTATCTTTCTATCCTCATCCTCAGTCTCTGATAACTGCAGTCCTCTTCCCCTGTTCTTGCTTTCTTTGATTTCTGATTCCCTTCCTCCGCTCCTGCCACCGCAAGCTCATCTCCCCCCAATTAACTGCACATGCCTTGGGTTCCTCTTCCGTTTTCGCCAACAATACCCTTCTCTCCTTCCACACTTAGCTCCCCTTAACTGCTACTACGTTGCTGCCTCTGTTCCTCTGGCACGACGAAAGTATTTGTGTTTTTCCCTATTGTCTATTGATCAATTGGAAAAGGATGTGATAGTAGCCACTCGCCAGCAATCCACGCTCTTTCTTCAATAATTCACGCTTTTGTAATAAACAATTTGCGAATTTTAGACGTTCCGCAGAAAATTCTCGTTTCGGCGAGCTAGCGTGAGAGCGTTGAGGTTGGGTATGCGAATTAGGTATCCTAAGGTTGTACGAAGAGAACGCCGAGGAAGCATTGCTGGTGGTGAAGGAGATGGTGACTTGTCGTTATCGGAGGACTGGGACGAGGAGCTGGACGCGTTTGGGCCGGCTGGAGGAGGGGAGTCGGGGGGTAGCGGAACATCCAGGGGGGTCAAGTAATCGATCCTCATCATCCTAGGAAAATTAAGGAGGAGCAAGAGACATGTCAAAAAGAGGGGGTTCAGATGTGGACGGTGAGCAATGATACATCAATTTTTCAACAAAGACGACATGACATGCAATGTGGACACGACAGAGCTCGGGATCATAATACAGATAACCCTTACGGATGTCACTGTATCCAAGAAAACAACAACGAGAAGTTTTGGACGTAAGCTTGGTATGTTCAGACTGGGAGAGGAGAACAAAGCAGACGCCGCCAAAGACACGAAGACGGGAGGGAGTGAGGCGGTGGTTTATGAAAAAGATGGAAATATGGGCTATTGTGGTCAAGGACATGAGTGATCTGGTAGTTTATTAGACGAACAGCAGTTGCGACAATTTCTGGCCAAATAGAGGAAGGGACACACAAGGAGAGAAGGAGAGCTCTAGTGACCTCTAGGACATGATGATTTTTTCATTCAACTAAACCATTTTGTTGAGACACGCCAGTACTTGATTTTTTAGACAAAATACCAGAGACATATACAGACCTAATAAGGAACCAAAACTAAACTCTCCACCTGGATCAGAATGGACTACATGAACAGTCCTATCAAACTGGGTCTTAATCATGGCAAGAAACTCGGTGGCAACAGATAAAAGATCAGACTTCAATCGAAGAAAATAGACCCACGTGTATCTAGTTGCATGATCAATGAACATGGCATAATATTTAAAACCAAGTCGGGAAGTTGCATGACTAGGCACCCAAAGATCAGCATGCATCAAGTGAAATGGTTCCGTAATCACAGTAAGGCTAGATGCAAAAGATACGCGAGTAGTCTTAACCTCAATGCACCTAGTACAAGAAAAATCCGACGAAGAAAGAACCAAAGTAACATTTCCAAATAACTGTTGTTTAAACATGGTCACAAGACGATGAGAGTTTGGGTGACCCAACCGAGCATGCCGCAATTTAAAAGTTTGATCAGAAAGACTCGGAAAAAGGAGAAAAGGAATCTAAAGAAGCTATGACCGATGACCATGAGGATGGAGGACGAAGTTGCTCGAGATAAAATATCCAACCCCATTTGCCACCCCTCTCGATCTCCCTCCTTGTCTTCTGATTCTGGACAACACAGTTAGAAGGTGCAAACACAACATGATATGTCGATGGTCGAACAATATCAGAACTATGCACAGAACCCATGCCAGAAACATGCAATCGCTCTCCATTAGCAACTTGTAAGGAAACATTATCAATAGGGCATAGTTTCTTAAGAACCAAATCATCACCAGTCAAATGATTAAAACAAGCTGAATCCAATATTCAGGTAGGAAGCTTGCCTGAAACCTGAAGACTGGCGAACGCAGAAGAATGGCCTTGTTCACCAGTTGTTTAAGAGCTGCCTAAGACACCACAAGATTCTCCTAACCAGATGGGCCCTGCACCGGATGCATAGCACAGGTTGGACGTGAAGAGGAACCACCGCCACGACCACCTCCACGTCCATTTGCCTCCCGATTCCTTCCTTCAAGAGTTGGACAATCCGGGATAATATGTCTCGCGTTGTTGCAGTAGACACAAAAGTTTCTTTTCCTGCAGTACTTCTTAGTATGACCCTTATCCTTACAATGAAAACACTGAACGTCAGTAGAATTAACATGATGTTGGAACAAAGCACGGTAAGCTACATACGCCGCATCATCATGCAAATTAGACAGCTTGCTAGAATTCCCACGATGCGCCCCACCACATGCGGCCCTAGTCATCTGCTGGGATTGAGAAACCGCACTAAAAACCGCCGACCCTTCTCTTTTCCTACGGCGCACGTCGAGCACAACGTTAGTGCGAATACGTGTTTCTTCTTGAATCAACGAGGAAAGCACTGCTTCAACCTTAATATCTCGCGATTCTTCAAGGTAGGACGGATTGGCTCATAGTCCCGATTGAGCCCCACGAGGAAGTGCATCAACCGTAGCCTCTCGCGTTCAGCCTTGACCTCCGCCGATCCAGCTGAGGTGAGGAGGGAAGCAGCGACGAGATCATTTTCTGTCCATAGGTTTCATGCCGCATTGTAGTAGGAGGTGACATCCACGTGCCCGATGGAGCGAAGTCAACTCCACCTCAATCTCGTATTGACGAGAAGCAGTTCTAGTGCGATACGTATCGGCAAGATATTTCCACATCTGCAGTAGGTAGCATACTGAGTCCCAAAACAATAGATCCATCAACCGAATTGAGAAGCAGAGTCCGAACCTTAGCATTGCGAGATCTCCCGCGCAAAAGAAGGAGGCGACGTTGGTCATCCCGGTGTGTCGTCGAGCCAACCCAGGAGACCCTTGCCCTCGATCAAATAGCATAATTCTTGGAGTTGAGACGAGTTGTAATCAGCTCAGAAGATAGACTCTAATACCATGTTAATCGTAACGGAATATCAAAACAGAAAATGTAAATCGGCACAAAGAGTTACGTGGTTTTCTTGTTTAGTATGAACGAGACTAGTCCACGATCGAAGCTATTGTATCCTCTTATTCGGCTTAGCTTCAACGAGTCTGGTTACAAGCATATATATACAACTAGAATAATAAACCCTAGCTCCTAAACTCGGCCAGCCCTAGCTTAACTCATACCGTTGAGATCACATATGGGAAGTTGGGCCAAAGCCCAAAGTACATTACTCAACACTAATAACTCAAAAAACACTCAATTTCTATCATTCCAAATACACCATATTAAACAAATCACCCTCACCACCCGAGATGGTGAGGAGTCACGCTTTTGAAATTGCATAAAGAAGATAGCTAATTTTGGGTCCGCAACCCAGTCGAATATGACAATAGGCCCAAGGCCTCCCACAGAGTTGTTTCCACCATGCAAAACAAGACTAATAACTCAAACAACACTCAATTTCTATCATTCCAAATACACCATAATAAGCAAGCCACCCTCATGACCTGAGATGGTGAGGAGTCACGCTTTTGAAATTGCATAAAGAAGATAGCTAATTTTGGATCCACAACCAGGTCGAATATGACAATAGGCCCAAGGCCTCCCATAGAGTTGTTGCCAGCAGGCAGAACAAGAAGACATACTCCAACGATTTTGATTCCAACCAATGAACAAGACATCGCTAGGGATGGGAAGCAACAAAAGCTCTGTATTTTAAAGGATTAGGCCAAGAAGCTTCCCTAGGGAAATCTTAAGCATATAGAGGTACCAGAAACTCCCACAAAAGAATCCACAACCTTGGATCCATAAAGCACACCTCACACTTCACCAAAGATTTTCTCATGTCATGTCAACATTTAGCTACTGAAAGCATCAACAAAGGGATCACTTGAATAGTTGTAAACGTTTTAGGAGCGAAACAAGCATTTAGACAATAAAAACACAAGTCCCCCAACTTATTATTGTAAATTTAGATTCTTGGATGCAATCTAAGTTCTACTTCGAAAATATATGAGGAATATTCCTTGCATATAAATGTCCACCTAACTCCGTTAGAGTGAGGCCTTTTAGCACTGTGTCCAATAATAAATCTATCTAGTTTTGACTATAATGAGATAATATCGTACTAAAAATGAAGTGCATGGTCTCAACAAGTGGTATCAAAATCCGATTTCAGAGTTTGAACCGGAGAGATGAACTGTTAGTTGTGTGGATTTTGATTAGCTCGAAATTCGAAATATGTATCTATTTAGCAAATTAATGGAGATCTGCATATGGTAATTTCCTGTGTCAAAAAATTTGATAATACAATATTGTTAATGGATTTAGATAATCAGTTGAGGGAAAGACCCAAAGTTCAGTAGTCCTTCGCTTGAGGGAGGATTACAATGACAATCCTCAAAACCTTATAGATTGAGCTATATATGTTTTATGAAATTTGCCAGCAAAATGGAGACTTCTCAAAACAAAATTCTAGCAACCAATAAACAACTTATAAAAATGCTCATGCTTTTGACGGATCAAAATAATCACTTGAAGTAAGAACACAAAATTCACTAGTCCTTCGCTTGTGAGTAATGAAAACCGGCCAGCTTGACGGTCCGTAACCTCAGGCTGAAGCAGATAACTCTACCACTGGCGCCGGTGGCGGATTCCCGACGACCAACCTCCCACCCACATTCCCAAGCCTATTCCCTGCCTCCACCTCCTTGGGCCCCTCCGACGTCCACCGCCCGCAGCCGTCGAGCAGCGCCGTGAGCCTGTAAGGCGCAGCGTCGGTGGCCAGCCACTGATCCACGTAGAAGATGGTCTGGCGGCACTGCTTGTGGGCCCCGGTGAAGGTGACCTCCACGTAGTCGCAGTACCACCCGTGGTGGGACCCAGACCCGTCGGAGGTGAGGTTGAGGCGACAAATGGGAGCGCCGATGCACGGCGCCCGCCCGCTGAAGATGTCCACGTGTCCCCGCTCGTAATAGTCGTGGCCCGGGCCCATCAGCCCCCACTGCTGGAGGTTCGGGATCCAGGCAGAGCGGCCCATCGGGTCGCCGATCGAGACACTGATCTTGGAGTCGGTCCCAGATTTGAACCCGTATCCAGTCTTGACGTAGAATGTGTAGACGCATTCGCTGTCTTCCTCCTGCATATGATGTAATTAAAAAAAACCCAACGAGAGAATCGATCGTGAATAAGAGAAACAGGTGATGATCAGTTGGAGATTAGTGGCTAATTACGTACATCGTCGGAGCGGACAGGTAGGAAGAAGAGTGTGGAGAAGACGAGGAATGAGAAGAGGAGAGATCTCATTCTATGGCGTTGATATAGATTTGGAGAGTTATGGGATTTCGTTCATTGTGGGGGTCTAGACTCTATATATAGGACAACCATGCATAAACTTGCATAAGTGTGGTGAGTTTGAATTGGAATTTTACTTGGCATCCATATATTTTGATCTATCTAAATTTCATATGCAAAATGATATTTGATTTTGAAAACAAAAAAACAATGTTTATAAATAATAATAGTAAGGTGACTTTTTCAGAAATTTGTGTTATGCTTAAATCAAAATTGCATTAAATTCGAAGTTATCTTGAAACTGTTGTCATCTCACAATGAGTAAATCCAGCAGTGGAGCTAGCCCCTAACAAGGTGGTTCCATGATCGATTATATAAATTAATTTAACCTATTAACATCTATACTAATACAGTTTATGAAGATTGGTATGATGCGGGGGGTTCTATGATCGATTATATAAATTAATTTAACCTAGTAATATCTACACTTATACAGTTTATCAAGATGGGTATGATGCGGGAATTATTAGCGAAAATCAGTAACTTTCTATGAAAATGATAGTTAAAAGAGAAAATTAGTTCCCATCAATGTATGTGCTTATGAAATTAGATTTAGTTTACTACTACCTATTGTCAATACACATGTTAGTAGATATTTTTTGCAATGGGATAGTTAACCAGTCTAATGAGTGAAATGAAATTGTGAATGATTATATGGTGAGATAACATTAAAAAAATCTTAATAATTCGAATAATTATGTAATTTTAAAATAATTTGATAATATGAAACATGAAACTTTATTGTTCAAAAATGATTTTATGTTATCTTTTTTATATACCACTTAAATAAAATTTTGGCTACACCACTGAGTAAATCAATTGAAAGAAAGAAACCCGCCGCATGCCCGTGTACTGTACACGCAGACACCTTTTACTGCACAACGTGACTGAGATTTACTGTTTCAAACTTGCGTGTCCTTCGGTGTGGGCTGGAGTTGGGTGAGGCCTCATTGGGATCTGGCGGAGTTTGGGGGCTCGGTCGGGGTGGGACTGGTCGTTGGCTTCTGGTTGGCCTTAGTTGCGGTCGTTTGGTGGCACGGACGCGCGTTGGTCATCAGAGATCGGTATGTGACTTTGCCCCTGCCCGGCCACGTGGGATGGGGCCTTCAGATGTGCTCAGTAAGTCTTGCGTGATATGATTGTGTCTGTTAGGGATTCCTAGAGGGTCGTGTTGGGCTGTTGTTCGCAGGACTGTGTTGGAGAAACTTGGCGACTCATTGGCTGGGGTTGGAGGTGCTTTGGGAATGGTGGACAACTGATTGATACCGGTTATTCACCTGAGGGACGGGGCCTTCAGATGTCCTCAGTGAGTCTTGCATGATATGATTGTGTCTATTAGGGATTGCTAGAGGGTCGTGTTGGGCTGTTGTTCGCAGGACTATGTTGGAGAAACTTGGCGGCTGATTGGCTGGGATTGGAGGTGCTTTGGGAATGCTGGGCAGCTGATTGATACCGGTTATTCACCTGATGGCGGGAGGGTGTCAGAAAGTTTACTGTTTCCAGCACTGTGCACGTCATTCAGTGCCTCGATGCGTGCGCTCAGGTGGAGAAGGGCATTTCTCATTCTTTTTGCACAAGAGGACTCATTCTCGGAACGCATTTCCCTCTTTTTCTTCTACCCTCTTTGTTCTCTGTAATTCAGTCGTTGTTTTCTCGCCTTTTTCCTCACCATGGATGCTACTCTGCTCTGCAATCTCAAAGGAGGTACCAGAGAGGTGACTCTGAGGCTTCGTCTGCTCCATATGTGGTATGCCAAGAATCCTTCTGGGACAAGGGTGTTTAATCACTGTTGCCTCTGGGTGGATCAGACGGTAGATTCTCTTACGCTGATTCTTTGTGATTACAGTGCTTTCTTTTTTTTTGCTCTTTTTTTTCCTTCTTTGCTCTTTCTTTACTGTCTTTTTTTTGTTTTTAATTTAGGGTATGCTCATTCAGAGCCTGGCTGATGTCTCTATTGGGTCTGAATTTGAGCGTGTGCTACGCGTGGGAGTTATCTACGTTCTTAGGTCTTTTGGTCTCAGTGCCGCAAGGAATCTCTATCGTGCTTGCTCATTTGATCTGATAATAGAGTTGTCAGCAACAACTATTTTCCAGGCCTGTTCTCTACCTGCAGCTGAATTTCCAACTGATTCCTTTGAGGTTGTTCCTTATAGTGAGCTGTCTAACCGTTCAGGGGAAAATCGTATCCTTGTAGGTGATTATTGCGTTTTCTTGACTGAATTGGATTGGGTTTTATGTCTTCTTACTGCTCTTTTTTTTTCGGGCAGATGTTGTCGGCCGTCTTCATTCTATTAGCGGGATTGATCATCAGGTTACTAATCACGGCTCGGCTCCAAAACAAGTTCTGGTCCTTGAGAATGCACAGTAGGTCTTTCTGTTATTTTATTTTTCCACTGGGGAATACTGTTTTGTCACCTTCACGTAAGATCTGATCCTTTGTTTTGCTGTCAGGGGCCATAGAGTGTCAATCACGCTTTGGAATGAACCGACGGCAGTCCTTGATCGACCTGCTTTGATTCAGGCGGACTCCATTGAGCCAGTGATCGTTGGAGTTGGGGGGCTCATGGTTGGTCGTTTGATAGGTGTGTATTTTAACTCTTTTCCATTCTGCTTGATCTTAAATTGTGAACTGATTTTGTTTTTGTTGTGCAGCCGGTGAATATTCCTGTTCGAGCTCCTCTGGAACCCGTATAGTTGTTAGCCCGAGGATACCAGAAGCTTACAGCCTCGCTGCTTTGTGGGTGCTTTGTTGTTAAACTGTGATTTTCTTGTTCTAGATTTGCTTTGTGGTGTTTGGTTTGCTTGACTTTTTTGTGTCCATCTATGCAGTTTTGGTGGATCCAGAGTTCCTGTTGCTGATTTGCCGGTCAAGTTTGCGACCCCAGAGGACGCTGTTGCTGATGCTGAGCGGAGAACCAGGACCATAGCTGAGCTTCTTGATTTGCACCATGGCGGTGCTTCTGTCGTGAGTTGCATTCCGATGTAGTTCTTGATTTTAGAATGGTCTTCGGGTTGTCCATTTATTTATGTTTTTTTATTGCTTTTTGGGATTATCAATGTTTATATTCAGGATGAAAAGCATCGTTGCGGTGGTATAGTCCGATCGGTTGAGTCCCGGAGCCCGTGGTATTACATGTCATGCAGCATGTGCAGAAAAAAGTGTTCTACGTGGCGAAATGGTAACTACTGGTGTCCTGACCATTGGGAGATCACTGAGCAGCAAGTGACAGTTGGGTGTGTGTTTTGTCTGATCATTAGTTGTTGTTTTTGTTTATTTCATTGTGTGCCTGTCAGGTCTTAGAGAATTTGCCTAATTTTTTGAATTTGCACTCATATGCCTGTCCTGATGGAATTGTCTCTGTTTTTTACTCTGTCGTCTCTAGCTACAAGATCCAATTGACCCTGCGTGATGCCACTGACGAGGCCCCTTTCATTATTTTCGGCCCGTGTGGGAACAATTTGGTGCTCACATCTGCCCAACTGCTGGCCCAGAGATATCCTCACAGGTCTGGCCAGTTGCCGCCTGAACTTGAGGCTTTGCTCGGCCAGTTTGTCAGGTTTGAGGTCAAGCTTCCGATGGTTGGGTCAAGTGGAGTATCTACGGGTGAATTCCGTGTTTTCCAAGTTATGCCTCATGATGTTCAGGGCCCAGTGCTTGGTCTTACAGGAGTTCCAGATGTCACAGGCAGTGTTTCTTCGTCCCAAACCCTAAGTCAGTCCTATTCTGGTCAGGAAGGAATGTTGATGCTGCCTGCTCCAGGTGTACCTTTCGCAGCTTCAGCTTCTGCTGTCATACCATCTAGGTGAGCGTTGTTTGCTCTATTGTTATGTTTGTGTTAGTTAATTACGGGAGTTTAGGTATGGGTTTGGGTTAGTCTAATTATTAATCTTTGCTGTTACAAATCTAGCTCATCCAAAGGAAAGGAAAAGGTTGTTGACTCAGTGTCGCCAGGAGGGACGAATCCAACATTCCAGGTTGGCCAGGTTGCAGGGTTGCCTCTCAGGTAACACATTTGGACTGTTTTACTTCATTTGGTATTGATGCATTAACCTGTGCTTTGTTACTGTTGTTGCATGGTAAATACTTATGTGCTCATTTGGCTCTTGCAGTTCATCTCAAGTTCCTTTGGCAATCAAGGAAATGCTGTTGTGTCCGACGTGATTTCGCCAAATTTACTGCCTCATGTTTCATCTATTGCACCTTTACTTTCTGTTGCTGATGTGAAAGGAAAAGGAACAGGTCCAGGGGCGACTGTTGTGGCAGCTCCTTTTACCATTACAGATCCTTTGAAGGTCTCTAATATCCAATCAGTTGGTGCTGTGAAAGGTGCAGTGGGGACTCCTGGAACTCGGAGTGATGGTATGGATGTGATGAGTTCTACTAACCAGGGAGTACATGGATTGTCATCCATTGCTGGGCTGGGTTCTGAAACTCCTCAGAGTAAAATCAGCAAGTCATCTTCGGCAGTTTCGCCTTTGTCTTCAAGGAGTCTGTGAGTTTTTTACTTTTAAACTTATCGTGTCATGGTTAGAGTGCAGTCGGAATTTATTGTTTTGGTCTTTGACAATGCAGCTTGATATCACTTCTGGCTAAGGTGAAGATTGAGAAGCTGGAATCTTCTGGAACTGGATCTCCTAATGTGAGGCAGGATGATGAGCAAACAGAAAGTTCTTCCCCTTTTTCGCTTGCTGACCAAGATTCACAACAGGCACCTGGGAAGCCTTCTACTGCTAAGCGTCGCCTGTATGAATCTTAGGGTATAAATTCGAGTCTGATCCCTTCGTGTGTTATTTGTTAGTTTAGAATGCTGATTGGTTATGTTATTTACTGGATCTAAGTTATGCTAGGTGCAGGAAAGGTGGTTGCCTTTTGTGGATGCTGGATTTGCTGCAAGGAGGCAGTCCTTTTGATGGTGGGCAGGATGATTATGTTGTTGATCGTTTTAAGTTGTGCTGGTTGGAGGGTTTGCAGCTCTTTTGTAAACTTCTTG